TAGTCTGGTATATATAAGATGGTCACAACGTGATGGAACAACAGTGCAATGAGTAATTGAATGTATGCAGATAAAATATTGTTGGCCACGTGATTTTTGCGTTTGTTATAGAGCGACTGTTGAAATTAAGTGTATTGTAAAGTTGTATTCGGAAAGAATAAACCAATTTTATTTAAGAAAGGACTTGTGTCGCTAAAGTTTAGTCGGAAAGAATTTACAGGAAATCAATTATCAAATGGAGACGTAACATTATGTTATAGTTTAATTTACCAATTACTGACACAAGGTTGGTCATGTAAATTTATGTTATCATTTAATGTAGCAAGTACTGAGATAAGATTGGTAAAGAAAAGTTAGTTTATAATTAAATGTAAAAGATCCTTTGACAAGATTGGTTAGGTGAAGTTAGGTTATAATTTCCTGTAGCGTGCTACCTAGGCAAGATTTGTTATATAATTTTAGCTTAAGTAATGCTAGAATATCATTTCATGTAGCATGTACTCATACAGGGTTCGTTAGGCAAATTTTGGTTATAATTTAGTGTAGCAATAATTGAGACAACATTGATTAGGAAAAATATTTGTTATAATGTAATGTAGCAACTACTCGGACAAAATAGGTTAAGAAAAGTTAGGTTATCATTTAATATAGCAAGAACTGAACCTAAATTTGTCAGGTAGAGTATGTTATTGATTAATGTATCAAGTACCGAGACAAGATTCATTAGGTAAAGTTTAATTATCATTTAATGCCAAAAGTACTTTGAAAAGATTGGTTAGATAAAGTTATGTAATAATGTAATGTAGCACATAGTGAGTCAACATTGGTTATGAAAAGTTGTGTTATCATTTACTGTAGCAAGTACTGCAAAGATGTGTTATGTACAGACTGTTATCATTTGATGTACCAGTTACAGAGAAAAGATATTTCAGCAAAATGAGCTTATCATTTAATGTAGTAATTAATGCCACGAGATTGATTTGATAAATTTATGTTGTAATTTAATATAATAAGTACTCAGAGAAGATTTATTAGACTATGTTTGGTTATCATTTAGCTTAGCAAATACTAAGGCAAAAATTGTTTAAGCAAACTTATGTTATCACTTAATTTAGCACATACTGAGAGAAGGTTGATTGGGTAAAGTTATGTTGTCATTTAGTTCTATAAGTACTGAGACAATATTGGCCAAGTAAAGTTAGGTAATCATTTAATCTAGCAAATACTGAGACAAGATTTGCTACATAAAGTTATAGTATTGTTACGTCTCTGTTCGTTTGTTAATTTTCTGTAAAAATTCTTTCCGAAGAAACTTTATCGACACAAGTCCTTTCTTAAATAAAACTGGTTTATTCTTTCTGAATACAACTTT